CCAGTAATGAACACACATAATTAGGTACACTGTTCTTATTTGTAATGATTAAAGTGCAATGGTTTATCATGTAGACACCCTCACTATTAATATTATTGAAAGATAAGTTGTGGTTTCAGAATGATAGAAGTATTTATATATATATATATATATATATAATAGTATTCTCTCTCTCTCTCACTTATTTATTAAGGTCTTTCAAGTAAATATTGTGGAAGACAGAGATAGCTTTGTGTGGAAAGGTCATGATCAGTTGGATATCAAAGGTAAACAACAAACGTTCGAGCCTGGGTTCCAGCACATAGCTGTTATTCAGTTAAAACCACCAGCAGGAGTGACGGCTCTCGAACTACATTCAGAGTGGGGATTGTAAGTATTAGTATTTGGAAATATCCATGTTCTTTTTATTTGGGTTTACTAGGTTATTACTTTCACTTGTAGTTCTAAACTTAATAAGTTCTACCATTTTAGACTAAACTTAGTTGCTTCTAAAATCTTATCTAAAAGTCTTTACGATTAACATGATAGTAGAATTTCTTCATGTTTTCTACAACTTAACTTGAGAAGGGGTTAACTAGACATGAGTGATTACCAGGTTGCTTCACCTGGTAACATGACAAATTGTAAATGATTTCTGAATTATTTTTTCTACAAATCAAACTTAAAATTGGATCCTGCAAATTTGTCCCAAATGGTTCAGAATGGATCTGAGAACGTGTACAACTTCTGGCCAATAGATATTTTTCAGTCAAAATGATCATTGTACACCTTCACCTATGTTTCTATGGTAGAGGAGAGTGAATGTTGGATACGACACATAAGGATACTGAAAAAGAACCTCGGATATGCATATCAGAGGCCTAGAGGTTATTCAAACTAAATGATGATGGATAAAAGTATTTTTATTTCTTATATGAACATGTTCCACTACAACTTATTAGTCTGAATCACAATAATGTTGTGAATTTAGATATATAACAACCGTTACAGTTTAACATGACGTGAACTGAGTCAGTCAACAACCGTTACAGTTAACATGACGTGAACTGAGTCAGTCAACAACCGTTACAGCTTAACATGACGTGAACTGAGTCAGTCAACAACCGTTACAGCTTAACATGACGTGAACTGAGTCAGTCAACAACCGTTACAGCTTAACATGACGTGAACTGAGTCAGTCAACAACCGTTACAGCTTAACATGACGTGAACTGAGTCAGTCAACAACCGTTACAGCTTAACATGACGTGAACTGAGTCAGTCAACAACCGTTACAGCTTAACATGACGTGAACTGAGTCAGTCAACAACCGTTACAGTTTAACATGACGTGCACGGGGTCAGTCCAATAAACCAGTTTCATATACGAAAAGGAATGTTGACGAGAATTCAAAATTTAATATCTACACAAAATATTTGAATTCAAGACACACACATTGACCACCTATAGTCAGATTGAATTATTCACCACTAACATAGTCTGTACTCACCACTGCCTCCACACGATGCCCGACAGTATCTCACTTGCCTGTATACTATTTGCCCACAGCAACAGATTACGACATTCATACAGCTTGTGATTCAGTTACTTCCTGACCAAGGACAATCACTTATGTCACGAATATGCTCCTTGAACTGATAAACTAATCAAACATGTTGTTTTGGAAAACACCTTGCCTATCAAGGTGTAAATATGGGTTGAATATAACTGGTAACAGTCTTCTTTGCCCCCTTTTACATTAATCAAAGTACCCAACACTTTATAAAATGAATGTTCACACCACTGTTGGAAGAACTTCAGCAGAAGACAGTTCTCTCTATATTAGTGATTTAAGTCAATGGCTTGCCCTGCAAGTACCCATTTTCATCTGATATAAAGTTTATATGGTTAGGGACAATCCAATCTTGACCACTGTTGAAAGGATCAGTCAAGTGGAACAACCGTTACAGTTTAACATGACGTGCACGGGGTCAGTCGTGTGTGTGTGTGTGTGTGTGTGTATATATATAAAGTTGATTAGAAACAAAATGGTCAATGCTTTTTCAGCTTGCTCTTGTCCAAGTTGGAATTCCTGAAATCAGTATAACTTCATGGTTAGTCAATTATTATAGATGGGGCTTCATATTTATTTCAGTTATAAGTAGAAAAGACTTGATGTCACTAAGCGGCTGTAAGCTTATGATAAAAATGGATTGTCTGAACCTAATAAACATCTCTTGTGTTTCGTGTATAAAAAGCCTACTTTCCCATATTTCAGTAGAATGTCAGTGCTGTTGTGTTTGTTTGTCATGAGAAACTTTACTTGTGGAAACAGTGTTCAATTACTTAACTAATTTTCATTACAGGGTTGCAGCTGGGACAGCACATGGATTGGAACTATTTGACTATGTTCAGAAGCAACATGTGATATCCAAGTGTACCCTCAATCCTAATGGTTAGTGACCACAGCATGTTTGTGTAAAATAAGATACCCGATGACGTAAGGTAGGGTGCAGGAAACAACTTTGACACATTTTATTGTTGGAAATCTACACTTTTATTGAAACTGAAAACCTATACTCTCAAGATATTTACATATTTGCCTAATTTTGGTATTAGGGTTGGAATTAGATAATATATTTAATTATTACCTCTTATATTTTCTACTCAGATTTTATCAGCAGGTGACACATCCATGACCTGTATATGTAGTTACTATCTGTATCTTTTTCTACTTAGATTTATCAGCAGGTGACACGTCCATGACCTGTATATGTAGTTACTATCTGTATCTTTTTCTACTTAGATTTTATCAGCAGGTGACACGTCCATGACCTGTATATGTAGTTACTATCTGTATCTTTTTCTACTTAGATTTTATCAGCAGGTGACACGTCCATGACCTGTATATGTAGTTACTATCTGTATCTTTTTCTACTTAGATTTATCAGCAGGTGACACGTCCATGACCCGAAGGAAATCATTCAAGAAGTCACTGCGAGAATCATTCCGTCGTTTAAGGAAAGGACGTTCTCAACAGGGTAAACGGGACAAAACCCCTACTAGATCAAGCAGTGAAAGGTGTGAGATAATGTTTTGATATAATGTAGGTATTTGCCAGCTAGATATCGGAGATAATGTTTTGATATAATGTAGGTATTTGCCAGCTAGATATCGGAGATAATGTTTTGATATAATATGGAGAAATAAATGCTATTGTTCTCATAGTTCAACAAACTCCAATAGATTAAGAGTTTAAGTTGGAAATAGGGTCAACAGATTGTTACTCACAGCTAACTATGAAATTCTTGGCTAGATAGAGGCATCGGACAATTGACCCTAAGGAGTCATCAACTGCCCTAGCTTCAACTTGACGTTCCACCGATTTAGATGGACCCTCAACTGACCCCGAGGTGTCGTCTATTTGATGTTCTACTGGTTTTGCTTGATCTTCAACTGCCTGGACTTCAACATCTGTGGCACTGGCATCCTTTGGACTGTGTTGTTTACATAAAGTATACATTTATAACCAATAATATTTTTCAACAACTGAAATGAAGTGGCACACTTAGAAATACATAAAACTAAAGTGTATAATTGTATGATACAGTGAACACTGAAGTATCCAGCTGGCAAATACCTACATCATATCAAGACATTATCTCCGATATCCAGCTGGCAAATACCTACATCATATCAAGACATTATCTCCGATATCCAGCTGGCAAATACCTACATCATATCAAGACATTATCTCCGATATCCAGCTGGCAAATACCTACACACATCTACATAGAAATAGTCTGAACAGAAGTTGTGAATGAAACCAGTAGCATCAATCAGATAAGGAAAAGTTCAGTAGTACTTTCTTCTAATTTGTGTAATATTTGATTCACATGGTTGAATATATAAAAATATGTTACAGTCAAGTATACGATTGTTTTTTTTTAGACCTCATGGAGATAAGTTAAAACTTAAAAGTAAACTGTAGTTTTGTACACCTTTTCTTTGTTACCACCTATTTTATTCCCACATTTTGTATTTCATATCAACTTGAAATACTGATGTCAAGTTTTATTCTGAAGGTGTAACAACAACCCCAACACTCTGGGCAGGAACAAATGCTGGAACTGTTTATATTTTTACTATTTCGCTGCCAGATACTGAGAATAGAGGATCTGGTGCTGTTAGCTGTCGGTTAGGTAAGTGTTGTGTGTTAAATGTTCTTTCAGTATTAGACTTGACAAAGTTTGGTGAGATGCTGTTACATTTAGGTTAGGTGACTGAGCAGATATTGTTATGTGGTGTAGTTTAACCCTATTGCCCAGGGTACCCTTTACTGCACATGACACAAGGTTTTAGTGTCTTGCATTCAAAATTTGATTAAACTACTTTTTGTTTATGTTATACCAATTAGAATAGCATAAAATCTTAGCTAATAATCCATATTTTAATAGTATACATATTTTAAATTCTTAATTCTACAAGGAAATGTTAAACAA